GTTCGGAAAGACTTGAAAACACTTTCTGATGAGCCAGGTAATTTTAAAAATCATTAGAAGATTTTGTAGTTGTCACAGTTATAATTTTTCTAAGTCATGATAAGTTATAATAAGTCCAGAAAAGCTGTTTCTATCATAATCGTAGCCTGAAAAACTATATATGGGGTAGAGGTTAGAATATAGTTTATAAAGAAATATTAAGTTAAATCGTAATAACACAAATATTAAAACAACATGCTATATCTTGGTATTAAATTAATTTCAGTCTTGCTGTCAAAGAAATTTATTTTATAGTACTACTTAATTATTATTTAAACTATGATTTAAAATAAATACATGTAACCTTTGTGAATAGAAAATGTATATGAATTCTTACCTATTTAAAGACTCCCCAACATGAATGTTATAAATATGGTGGTTAAACTCACCACAAAGTGCCTCTGTCCCTCTCATAACAACTACTCAAATTATAAAGTTGATGTCTAGAAGAAATTATCCCCAGTGTCTTCAAATTTTTCTATTTCTAAAATTGAAGGAATTATTCCAATATGGAGAAGAGAATATTGATTTAAAGTAATTGATGTGACAGAACATAAACATTAATTATTAATGGAATATTCTGTATGTTCATTTCGGTTACCCAGTTGAATGTAGATGTCATCCATACCTCCTAGAAGTATCGTTTACTGCCTGCAGGTGGGGATGGTCAAGTCCTAGTGCCAGCATCTTCAGCCCCACATAAAGGCTTTTGTTTTTTTCCATAAATATCTTTGCTTGTGTGTCATCTGCCAAGGTGCCCAGCTACCTCTTAACTTACTAAATATATGAAGGTTTGGCACGGATATGAAACTATTTTCTGTCTTTGATCAAACTGCCCTGAAAACAAGTTTCCCCAATATGTTTCAGCTGCTCCAGTAGCTTGGGAACTTACCTTAGGGATGTTTATTTATAGAATGTTAGGCACAAGCCATAGTCATATATGACAAACCCGCATGTGATTACTTATTCCCACAATGCTTTGTGATCCTTTTTTTCCTCACTTTAATTTTTTTGGGGAGAAAAAGTTGTAAAACAGTACTAAGTGGTGGTACTCCTCACTTCTATCAAAGACAATTCATTTTGATGAGTCAATGTTGCTAAACACAACTTTAGTGCTGAATATCAGTAACCCTTCTTATTGGCAGAAAACTGTCCTCTGCCCTCCTTTCTCATTATTTCTTCAGTTCCCTATTTATTCCTACCCTCTGAGTCTACACTCTAATTCTGCTCCAAGATCTGCTTCATGCTATCCTTTGGCATAATTCAATTACCATTTATATCATCATTACTTTAGCAACTTCCCCAGTGTATTTCATACTCAGAATTTTCTATTTTCTTTCTTAGTAAAACTCCCTTGTTCTAGGTTGCATGTTCTCCAGGCCGCATTCCATGCAACTTTAGAAAAATTAGCATATGCTAATATGTCAATATGTACCAATAACATAATATTATTTACCCCATCCACAAAGTACAAATTAACATTTAGAATTATCATTTCCCAAAGAAGAACTGCCAGTGCTGGAAAATTTCAGGAAACTTATAGGAAGACAATATTTTTGGATAGGTGGTTATGTCTTTTAATGTTCTTCAAATCCCTTAAGTGTTTGCAGATGTAATGGAAGTAACATACACCAAGTGCTCCACCAAGGGCTGATAGTTTGTTTGTCATACAAACCTGTAACTAATATGTTCTGTGATACTCTGGTCCCATTTCCCTTTCCAGGTCTCAGTCACAGTGGTTTACAACATGGTACTAGAATTAATGGTAAGAGTGTTTTTTGGTGAAGACTTCCTTTCAGAAACAGGACTGGGAGAAGCAGGTGGTGAATGTCATACTGGATCAACTGTGATAGATGGATAACGTGGACCAGCCTCAATGGGCCCTCTGTTATCCACCCTGGGCAGCAAGCAGTGTTGCAAGACTGACTGATGCTGCACTTGTAAGTAGCAACTACTGAACACTGCTATTATTTTGTTGAAAAGAGTCCTGTGGATTGTTTTGACTTGTATACTAACAGGTAAGAAAAAAATGGCCAACTCACTTCTTAGAAGAAGCAAGAAAGACATTTTCTCTTGAATATATGCAAGATATATTTCTGATGGAAATCCTTCCCACCTAATACACACACACAAATACACATTAAAAAAAAACACTGTAGAATTCTATCCTCCAGAATCTGTGGTTTTCCTTCTTTTCTTCTTTAGTATACATGAATATGTGAAAATGTACCACAATCAGACATGCAGCCTGATCAAGTGCTAATTTCTTACAATGTGCCTCTATTTAAAGCAACAAACAGATGGAAGGTTTATGAGCAAGGCTGGTAAAAGTAAAAGCAAATGATTGTGATAGTTGTACTTTTAATAGGATTTCCCACAATCTAAAACATTATTCCCCAAGGAACAAATGTTCTATAAAATTACATTACTTAGGAAAAAGACAGTCTGCCCTGACTTTGCTGAGGCAACAGAAGACTCCAGGATGGTCTTTGACTGCAGGGTGCTCTCAAGTCAGATCAGTGTCCTGGGAGAGAGGCCACAAGGACACCATGATCCCCAAAGAATAAGCTTAGTGGAACAGGGTAAAAAGCAGAAAGAGCAAGGGTAGAAAGGGGGTATGAATATGTATGAGCTTTGATTGAACTTACTACCTTCTAATTCTCTACTTTGAAAAACAGGGTTTGGGACATTTTTACAGATTTAAGATAAGCATGCAACATCACTTCCTTCTCAACCAGTGCAGCCCAATAACTCCAGCACAACAAATCTTGCTTAACATGCAGTGAAATCATAAACAACTCAACACTAATTCATTATCATTATCGCTTTTTAAGAGAAACAAAATTCACTATAATCCTATCATTAAGATGAATATATTGTAGTAATGGCCTTTACGTAAATTATAATTAAAGCTAATCTTAATTAAAGTTATTACACCATTTTGGAAGAAAATAAACAACCCAAAGAGAGGGAAACAATGTGGTCAATAACTCACTCCAAAAACATTTTTTGCCTCCAAAGCTCTCATTGAGGGAGACATTCCTGCGTATGATACAAATGGTTCTGACATTAAGAAAAGTAAACAAGTAAGAAAAATAAAGATGGAAAAATTCTGTGGTCAGTTCACAAGTGTATTTTTATTGTTTGAGGCAGGGTTAAAGCCTTTTATAAAGACAAGGATATATGTGCTGCTGGATTGGATATGACATTGGACTAGTCTAGCTGCCCTTGCATGCAACTCTGACTGCCCATAATATGCCATCGACAAAACAAAGAACTAGGGTGGGACCTAATGCAGCTAATGTAAAGCATTATCCAATGCCATTTTGTAGATCAAATAGAGAAAAAGGTACTTGACTCTGGTTATTGCATTTGAGAGATAAAAGCAAACATTTGATATCCTCGATCAATGATCTTGAGGATTTTAATCTAAATAACTGATTACCAATGTTTACTTAATCTACAAGAGGGACTCTTGCCAGCTCAATGCAAGTCATTCAAGGACTGTACTGACTCAGTAGGCCCGAGGCCATGTGAATGGTCTAGAATTGAGAAAGTAGGTTCTTCATGGCTATTTCAGGGATTCTGACTCTCCAAAGACTTTTAAATAGCAACTCTCTAGATATTAGGTACGTATAACTTCGAAGAATTCTCTTTCAGGTTTTGCTGCTCTCAAACTAACCTAATACCAGAAGATCCAGGACAATGAACTCCTGGTCAAAATAGAAAATGCAAAAATAAATGCTGTTGTGTCAAAGCAACCAGTCTTTCAAATAGCTTCCAGACTGAATTTACTGGTGTACCTATATGTTAAATTACATTAAAGCCACCCAACAAATCTGATCATGCTTATTTTCCTTGTAACATTAATTTTAGAATTAATGACAAAGATACACAAAGACCATCTCACAAGTTATGTATTTCATTTCTGAGAGGTCCCAAGAAAGGTACCAAATCCAAAGGGTTTGGGCCTTCTATTAAAAACTGTTTGGTCTGGTACACATTTTCTGTAGTCTTTATTTCTTTTTTCTGTTCTGATATACCACCTTATCTTTTATCCCAAAGGAACAGGCTTGCTCCAAATAAAATCAGGCCATGGACATATTTGGAAGTGTGTGTGTTTACAAATGACTGAGTGAATGGATGAATTAGTGAATATTCAAAATCCCTGGTACAGCATGACCTTGGTGCTGGAAAAGATGCCTAACACTGCCTAGTATTCAGGGCAAGAAGTAAATTTAGAAATGAACAAAACAAGATAAAGTCCATGCTTTTGTAAATAGTTAGGGAAAGCTAGTTACTCCAATTCAGAAATTATAACAATATGAAGCTGGCCATGAGTGAATGGCCTGGCTGATATCTTCTACTCTCTGAAAAATAGCAAACAAAAAATGCGTTGCTTGTGATAAAGATACTAAAGAATGGGGGGAACATACAGAATATAAGAGAGAAGTTAAGAAAAATAAGTGAGAGCAGGTTACCTCAAAACTGACTATTTCACTAAAAATAAACCCATAGCACAATGATATCAGAGTCATCTCTACTCAATAGGCAAGCTGAAGACACAGGCTCTCTCACTTGACTCCAGCCACCGAGCATGCTCAGGGAGGCCCCAGGTGTGACCTCTGCTCCCTCTGAGCAGTGGAGGGGCCAGGCAATCTATCATGGTGTTCATCCTGTCAGCTCCGGTGCTTCGCCGCTGCTGTCTGTCACCCCGGTGGATGAGACCTGCTTAAGGGCAATCATGTCAATCTCTACGTGACCACTCAGTCTAAGGCAGAAAGATGATGTTGACAGGCTTGGCAAAGTCAGTAGAAGGGAGCAAAAGCTAAAGTCATAGCCTTCCCACAAAGATGCAGTGTGAGCCATTGTTCTTTTTTTTTCCATTCATTTTTCCTTTATTTTTGCTTTCCCTTAAAAAAAAATCTCATGACATGGACTAAGGCATACAGATCTTGCCTTCAGAGCTGGTCATCTCGGATAAACCTGTTTCCCTCTGAGTTTTTCCCATAGTAAACATAGTGACACTTCCCCAGGACACCTGAAAATAAAAAACATAGCATTAGAAACACAATTCTAGCAAGAACCAAATCGGTGCTGCAAAGCAGAAACACAACACAATCCTAGATCCAATGGGCGGCAGCCAAAGGATAAGTCCCAGAGGGCGGGGCCCTACCTCCTTGTCTTCAGAGTTGACATTCAGATAAAATGTCAGCAGAGCACAGGTGCCTAGGAATAACATGGTTCCCACATGATGTCTCTTCCACATTTTAGAGACTTTTCTAGTTTGGCCAATTACTCCTCAAAATAGAGCTCCTCTCCTCTCCCCCAGGTTCCTTGAACAGTTTCTAAAAATAGAAAATTAAGAGTTTGAAGATGGGCCCAGCCAAGCAAAAGATGTGGAACAATCTTTCCAGAATGTGACTATTTTCAAGTCCTCTATCATGAATCCATAGTGTTAACTTCCAAAAAGACCCTTCCTGGTCTCAGGAGGCTCCAAGCACATATTGGGAGATTAAGAGCTGTGGTGCTGACAAAGTGCCACCTGGAAAGTAAGAAGGGCCTCCCATAATAACTGGTTCCTCACAGGTGTGCTGAAGGTATTCTCTGCTTGGAATGCATTTGCTTTTCATTTCCAATTTTATTTTAAATAATGATTTGGCTCCATATACAGCTTTCTTTTCATTCAAGGAAGTGGTAGGAGGACTTAACTATGAAAAATACCCTTATAATAGGGTCAAACCTTTTAACCAACTCAATATTTATTCTAAATATCCATAAGATCATGGACAAAACCAAAGGGGAAGAGCTGAGGGAGGGAAGGAGGGAGGGGGCAAGGGAAAGTGGTTGGGGGGGAGGCAGAGACAAATGTATTTGAAAAAATAAAATAAAATTAAAAAAATAAATTTATAACATAAGTAAATAAAAAAGTAAATAAATAAATATCCATAAGAAATTACCTGCCATAGTTTTTTTTTTTTTATACAAGCTTGGTAGGATTATTAAGAAAAATAAGTTTTTCAAGAAAAATATTTGTAATTACAATTTGCTTTTTGCCACCTTGTTTTTCTTCTAATTTTAGAAAAACTTAAAATTCAGCTTCACAGATTTGTCTTATTACTAATAGCACTTGAGTCTCTGATATGTGCAAAACAGAAAAAAAAAACAAAGAAATGTCCACAAAACATTAATTCATGAGCTACAAATTGGCCTATAGAAATAACTACTTATATGCATGATTTTTCCCCCATCAGTTTGACAATAGGAACAATCACGATCTTTTGTTCATTTGGGATAAATTAGGACTTGAAATTATCCAGGTTCTTCATATCAGGAGTTCTAAGTAGTAAATATTCCTTTGATTGTATATAAGATATTTTTCTCCCCTGCAGAACTTTTAACCTTCTTCTTAAATAAGGATTAAAAATGACTCTTAGAAACCTTTAAGGACAGGGCAGATGCTCCCAGGTTTGAGTGGTTTGGGACAAAGTTGGGAATGGCTGGGGTCACAGAACTGCTCAGAGGTGGTAATAGGAAGAGGATGATATTGTGCCATGGCCCCAAAGCTGGTCATGGGCATGCCCTCATTACTTATATTTCCTGACACATTTGCTGTGGACCACATTTCCACGTTGGCCATCCTTTCTCCTTGGCCCCCCATCTCCCGACTCTGTTTTTGAGTTAGTCTGGTACCTGAAAACACTGAGCTTGGATGAAACCTCTCTGAATCCTTTCTTTGGGCCTAAATGATTCTTCTAGCTGCTGGCATTGAGCTGTTTCCTTTACTGAGCTGAACTACATAGCGCCTGGCGTTGGACTAACACTGTCACTAATGCCCAGAGCCTGTCTGTGGGCTTGGCTGGTTAGAATCTGTTCCAGGAACAGCACCTCCTACAGACCTGGGTGGCAGTCTCAGATCTTTCTGAAAATCTATAAGGGGCCTCCTTAAACATAATCAGTTCAAATACACCCTCAAGAATATGGAAGAATAAGGATGAAAGATGTTAATTTCTATTTCACAGCACCAGGACAGCATGCATTTTTTTATAAAAAGAAATGGATAGGGCTGTCAAATATTATAAAGAGTACAGTCTTTCTCTTGAGTAAAAAGGATGAAAGGCCGACACACACACACACACACACACACACACACACACACACACACACACACACACCTCCCCCGCCCCAGTGGGCACATTCATTCCCTCCTTCAAACTTCCCAGTGCCGGCCAGATTGAATTTCTTTTTTCTACCCCTCTCTCCATTGAAAACCTCAACTGCAGATCTCACTGAGATAGAAGCTGGACCACAAATGCCATCCTGGAAACAGGCAGTATACTCTTGGAACATGGGCCCTAACATGGAGGGAGTGTTTGGAGCCACGTTCCCCAGTCCTCCTTTCTGGCTGGCATTGATAAAAGTCCTTTTTAAGGGCTGCCCTGTTCCTTTGGACCTGGAAGCAAGAATGTTCAGAGACATCCTGGTGAGAGAGGCTGTTTGATGAATGCAGGAGACTGCAGTGAGGTGTTGGAGCTTGGAAAATGAGGCAAGGGCATGAGGTATTAATATTGTCAGTGATCTCTTGACAGGAAAACAGACACCACACTCACCGTCAGATTTAAATAGACATCAAGTGCATTAATGACAAAAGGGCAGACTTCAAACAAAGGGGCTGTGGGGTGAGGAGCAGAGCTGGCCTCCTCGCGGGCAATAACCTGATCTGAAGAGACACAGTCAGGGCTTGAGACAGGCCCAGGATTGTGTGTGGTGACAGAAAACAGAGATGCTGACAGAGATACCAGTGCCATATTATGCCAAGGATATCCTAATGCTGTCTGTGTCTCTAACAAAGGCTGACATCACACCCTATCACTTGGGGTCTTCTCCGCCCACTCCTGCCGGAGATTTCTCCCCAGACATCATTACAAAACTCGCCCTTGTTGTGAGGTTCCTGGCAGCCCTGTTTTGCCAGAGCGCTGGGGTCAGGGAGCCTAGGGATAACCTCAGTCAATCTAAATTTGGACTTTGCAGGAGGAGCCCACTCATTACCGCCCCCCGCCCCCCATCTTGGCTACTGGAGGTGATCAGAGTGCCAATGTGTGAGGAGCTGTCAACTTGAATAAAATCCTTAAAGGGAAGGCAGTCAGACTTCGGGCTTCTCCTGGACAGCACTGGGACGGTCCGGCAGCCGAAAATTAAATCCAGCTGCTGCTGCTCCTCCTCTGTGCAGAAAGGTGGCCTGGCTAGTGATGGTGAAAATCAGGCTGAAATTTTAAAACTTGAACCGCTTAGCTCACAATTACGTAAATTAAGCAAGCGTTGCCTCTATTGAGACTTCTACCCTATGGAGCTCACAGTTGGTAAGTGATTACCCACTAAATGGAACTTTTGTGCTCAATAAATAAATAGATAGATACAATTAACAAGGAAGAAAAAAAAGCACAGTCCCATATGTGGCCATACCAGTTTCTTTATCACAAAGTTTATTTGTAAAATAATAATATGACCTGCTCATAAATTAAGTGAGGTGGTGGCATGAGTCTTTCTCTCCTGCTGTCCCCATGACCCTCCTTCTCCTGTCACACCAACTGCCACCAACTGTGCAAATTACAGAGGGAGCAGTTTGGTTGCAATGAACGTTCAGGGAGGCACTTGGGCTGGAATTTGGGAACCCGCAGGTCATGACTCAGTAGGCGGTGGTTTCCACGTACATCTGCAACGCATTCGCTTGTTTGTATCTCCTGGAACTATAACATCTTGGGACTGGAGGGGGAACAACACATTTTTTTGGCATATGTCGTGTTTTTAATTCTCTGGGGAGAAATTAATTGGCCATAGTAAGTGAAACAGGTTTGCCATACGTCAGGAAAACCTGTAACTGTGTGGGGTTTCTTTCGGGGGGCCCTAAAAAATGGCACTGGGCTATCCCCTGGGAAATCCTCTCCTGGCAATTGAGAATCCTAATTTTTTTTTAAGTAGCCAGCTCTGCCATTACCATAACTTCTTAAAACTATAATTATGGAAAAAAAAAGTGTTTTGGGAAGAAACTGTTTTAAAGAGGTCCTTTATCTTTTCAAATGTTTTTCTCCTTTGGAATGAATGTTCTAATTATGTAGTTTAAGTTATGACCTTGGAGCTGGCTGAAAGGGTGGGAATCAGCCTCTTTTCTGGGATGCAAGGCTATGATGGCAGGAATGGTACTGGAGTCCCGGCTGGACCCTGCGTGTCCTGGGAAGGAAGTCCTGGCACACGCATGCAAGGTCCAGCAAAGCCCCAGGACTCTCTGATCTCTTGGATGCACTTGCACTTCCAGTTGCATATCTACCATCTGTTTGGTAAGGACAGGTGAGGGACAATCTGCAGTTAAATCCAGCTCTGCCCCTAACAGTTATGTGACCACGTATACCTCCCTTTTCCTCACTGGGCTGGTTTCCCCATTTGTAAAATGAAGGCAAAGGACCATATCACCTCTGAGGTTCATTTTAGTTTTGAAATAGATGAATTAATGTTTTCCATGTTTCCCTTATGAAGAGGAGGATGTCAGGTCCAATATTGCCTGAGACAGGAGGTAAATCCAATGGTTAGTTCATCAAAAATTTGATTTGGACTAAGTCAGCTCTTGAAACCCGTCCAGCCCATAACATATAGAAGGGAGCTCTGTTTGATTTCAAAAGCCCCAACAAAAGAATTCCCACTAACTTTTCTTCAACCTGTACTTCCTACCCAGAGCTGGGAGGTGTTTACTGCTAACCAGCCTGTGTCCCCATAGCTTTGACTCAAATCTCATAACTCCATATGTAATAGAACTAAAGACCAGCTCTCAGAGTAAGAGATTTATCAGAGTAAGAGATTAAGAGATTTTAGTTGTGAAAAAGTAATGGTCCTTACTCATACAAATATAAATACTTATTTGGTGATGCAGTATAGGTTGGACCAATAAATTTGTATTTATAAAATAATGTATCAGTTTTATTATCAATATGATGCTAGTTTTGGTAGTCATTTTAAATGCTATTATCACAAGTATTTGTAAGTGCAGCT